GTGTGTGTGTGTGTGTGACTGGGGTTTGATCTCTGGGTCTCATGCTTGCTAGGCAGGTGCTCTACCTCTTGAGCCACTCCACCAGCTTACAACGTATCTTAGATTCACCCCAACTCCTTTTCCTTCTTGTGAATGCTCATAAACAAATATTTTGGAAATGAACAGTTTAGGAGCTAAACTTGAAATTCTGCCACCTGAAACAAAGGTGGAGGCATTAAGCCTGAGCAGGGAAGCCAAGAGGCTTTTGGAGGTTCCTGTGTCACTTCTTCCTCTCAGATGTCTCATCTTGAGAGTCATTACCAAGCCCTCTGGCCAGTACTTAAAGCCCTGGCTTTAAAAGATGTGCTATTTTTCTGTTCATTTGCCAACGACCCCTCCTCAACCCAAGGAACAATAATAACTTGGTTGCAAGGAACCATGTGGCTTCCCTCAGCTGTCAACCATGGTTTATTTCCACTCAGAGAGGGCAGTGGGTTTGAGTGCTACACGGGGGAAGGGGAAAGCAGCACAGGTACAGGTACAATGGTCACACGAAGGAGCCATCTGGCCCTGTCCTATTCATGCCACCCATAGCAGTGAGAATAGTGGGGGGAACAGCTGGGAATCCACACGCTGTAAAACTGAAATAAAATCAGCGTAGGAGACTGGAAATGAGAAACTCAGGAGGGGATGGGACATCAGTGAGGAACAAGTTTTAAGTGACTTCGGGGATGTGTTTCCTCTGGAATCCCATCAGCGCAGCACCATCTGCCCCTGCTATGCTGTCAAGAAACTCCAAAGAGCTAATCCCTATCTTTGGCAGTCAAGTATTAACTTTTGAGATTGGGTGCCACTACAGTCTGGCCTTGCACTCCTAGTCTCAAGTGACCTTCTCAGGACTACAGGTGTGTACCACTGCACTCTGGTACGTATTTCCAAAACTGCATGGGCTTTCAGAAGATGCTTGTGGTTGACCCCATAGGTTTATGAACGTAAGCTTACAAATAAAGGCCATTTGGTCCTACCTTTTCACAGTGCATCGGTGGGGTGCCACGTACAGCACCCACTATCCAGTTCACAGCTGATCCTGCCCTTCTGACACCTCCTCCCCCCCAGAGCGCCTACAGTTCAACTTCCCATGGAGGGGTGGGGGTGAGGTACTTCTCTGTCCTAATTGCAAAGCACATTATCCTCCCCTTCCCCACATAAACATAAACTCTCCCTGGCCAGGCCTGGAGTTCCTTAGTGGCAGACTGGCCAATCTGCCACTCTGGTTTCGTTGCTTTCAAACTACAGTGTGTGTAGGAGTCACCTGCAAGGTGTGATTAACACAGATGATGCTGGGCTTCGCCCCCACAATTTGTGGTTCACAGTAGACCTATGTTTCTAACAAGTTCCCAGGTGAAACTAAAGCAAGTAGCCTGAGAACCACTATGAGAACCACTGATCTAGTTTGGCTTTTCCCAAAGACCATGACTGGGGGCGTGGCTCAAGTGGTAAAGCACTTGCCTAGCAAGTGCAAGCCCCTGAGTTCAAATCCCAGAACCAACACAAAGACCTGTGGACAAAGGTAACCTCAGTAGCTTCCCAGTCCTGATTGTATGGCTATCCTGTTTCCATGTCCCTCAGAGTTGGAACTCAGCTGCCACTGGGAGTTGGCAATGCTTAGTAAATAAGACACCAAGACACCAGGATCTTGTTAGCTGGATATATTTTTTTCCTTTTTTTTTTCTTTTTTTCTTTTTTTTTTTTTTGTCACAGAACACTGTTTGCAGTAGAGGAAACTGGCATTGCAGTCTGATGGTGTAACGTCTTGTTCACATAAACCAGTACATGTTCATCCTTTAGCACAAAAAGCCCTAATGGCGCGTACCCTATTGAAATTCAGGACATCTCCAATATTTTCTCTCTCTGTTTTTCTTTGTCTTTTTTTTAAATAAACATTTTCAAGGTTTGTCCAAAAGAAGGCCATATAGGTTCTTGGCTAGCGGAAGACAATTCAGAACAGTTGTTGCACACTTGGACTGTCGCCTTCTCCAGGCTGGCAGTTGATATCTTATTTTTTTTCCAACTCATTTTTATTAAAAAAATAAAAAAATGCTCCAACTATCAGTTTTACAAAATCTCTAAGGGAAACACAAGAGCAAGGTGCTGAGGTAAAAAAACACCTGAGGTAGCTTTTTTTTTGTGTGTGTTTTTCTCGTTAAAATAAATCTGTAAATTTAACGCCCTAGGCCAACAACCTTATGTAAATTGCTATTTTCTTCCACATTGTTTTTTTAAAGAAAGAAATCATTTCACTGAACGCAGATGGCTTATACACCAAAATGCAAAAAGACAAAATACATTCTTTCTTTATGGAATTTTTCTTTGATTGGTTGGCTGGTTGGTTTGGTGGGATCCTGTTTTCCTCTTCCAAAATGCTAGGACAAGTACCATTGACTCTTGTTCTTTTGAGTAACCAAGTGTAAGTTGAGGCTGGTTTGTGTGTTTCGCATTTGTTCCTTCTGTGTGATGTGATACTCAGAGCACTGCTTTGCCTGGGGGGAGGGTGCTAGATACAGAGGACTGAGATAGTGGGATGTGGGGATTCAAAAGAATGGGGGTGGAGAAGGGGTAGGAAAAAGGGAAGAAGGGGAGAGATAAACAGAGAGAGACAGAATTATATGGCAGTATGCAAAAAACCAGTTTAAAACCTGTGAAGTCAAGAGAAATGGGTGAGTGAACTAGACCGGGATGAAGAGGGGCAGAGTCCCCTCTTTGTGAGACGGTATCCCTTCTGTTGAAAGACACAGGTGATCCAAAACTGCAGCGAGTGTCCTTCCATGAGATTTCCCTCTGGGTGAATTTTGTGTGGGTGGCCTCAAAGTTCCTTTCTACATCATGAGACCTCCCAAGCAAAAACTTTTTCTTTAAATCTAGAAAAGCCTGCTTTCTCTTCCAAAAAGAAAACAAAATTAATAATTGAGTACAAACGGGAGTTAGTTGAGTTATTTGATATATTATTTCTAAAATATATTAATGCTGCAGGCACCCTGTGTAACCCACAGGCCACATATCTTAACATCTTTCCCCTTCTAGTATGTACACACATGTACAGAGACGGTTTTCCACAACAAAGAAAGGTATGAATTTTGCTTTGCTTTGAGCATGTTCACCTATGTTAGTTCAACTAAAAGGGATAGCGTCGTGGGGGTTAAAGAGAGATCTGAGTGGATGAGTGGTGGATGACTGAGAAGCCTGCAGAAGACCGGGGAGGTGGCAGGTGAGCTGGTGGTTCTGGGGAACCCGGCCTTCCCCTCAGCCCAGGATTCCCAGGGCCTCTGCAGGCCCTGGCCGCCTCCACAGACTTCTCATTCCTCAGGATGGTCTTTGGTTTGCTCCCGATCTGCTGGCTGTGTTTGGTCTCCTCTGTCAGGTGTTGGGAGGGCTACATTCATCCGTTGTTTGCTGGTGCCTGTGGGAGCCTCACTTGCTGCGCTGTGAGGCAACTCCCTGAGGGTATTTCTGCTCCTGCTGCTTCACCTGTTGTACAATTTCCCTGATCTTGCGCTGTGCAGTCTGCAGCAAGGGAGAGAAGGGAGAGGAGGGGACGGGAAGAAAGGAACCCAGTTCTGAGGACATACAGGAGGTAGAGGGTCTGGGACTTAGGGGACAGAAGGTGGGGTGCTCAGACAAGTATCAACTCCCACCCCTCCATGCCAAGTCTGCTGGGTGCAAGGTAAGGGAGTAGGGCCCAGCAGCTTCCAGGTCCTAGTGGACAGACAGGCCAGGAGGTAGGAGCAAGGAGACAGAGACTGAAGGCCCTGTGGAGGGCCTGGTCCCACTGCACACACCTGAGTTAACCTTTCTAGAGAGGTTAGGAAGAACATCAGTATGGCTGCTGGGAAGGAGGAACAAGCAGTGGACAGGGAAGGAAGGGGAGGGAGGGAGAAACCAGGCTTGGACGTTACTTTAAATAGCTGGAGTATGGGGCATGAGCCCCAGCCTGCCTTCACCCAGCCAGCACACTACGGGCAGGGAAATCCCTTACATAACATAAAGGACAGCTGAACAAGCCAGCTGACAACACAGACTGCCTGTCTCTGTCTCTACTGGCTTAGGACAAGGACTGGGACTATGATCTGAAAACTTAATCAGCCAAAGCACCCAAGAGAGAACTCGGCCAAATTTTGCCATAGTTCTGGTCTCTGAATGGAAGGAAAGCATCTGTGGAGGTGTCCTAGTGAGATGGGAGGGAGAGGAGAGAAAATGGGGAAACCAGGGTCCCATGTGATGAGCATTTGACTTTTCATCGGGAGACTGGCATCCAGTCTGTTCCATCAGGGGTCTGGTATGTGGCTCTTCACAGAAAGGCTGTGGCTGGGCCTGGGCAGTGGAGAAATGAAGGGGCCCTGTCTCAATAGTTTATGCTTTCTCTCAGACAGTGGTCAGAAGACAGGGAACGAAGAGCCAGGAGAACCAAAGAGGGGTTTCACTGTATGTGTGTGTGTGTGGGGCGGGGGCGGAGTTGTTCTGGGCATATACTCCCCAGGTGGGCCACTAATAACTTAAGTAGAGAATTGGAGAAAAAAAAGAGATTGGCCAGAGTGACAGAGGTCATCATGGGGGTCATCACACCACAGTACCTGACTAGCAAAGAAATGCCCGATAATTCTGACGATCACCTCCTCATTCTCATCTGGCGTTTGGTCACGAGGCACGATGACTTCTGCACTGGTTAAGTTCTGCAGTTCGTTCACCTGTGAAGGAAGAAGGGAAAGAAAAGGTGGTGGGCCAGATGGTCCCTTCCCCATCCACGGCCAAAACTGGGCTCAGGAGGGAGGAGAGAAAAGTGGAGACACCCTTCCTTCAATCTAGGACAATCAGGGCTTCCTTGCCCTGACCACCTAGGCACATGTGAACTAGGGCCCTGAAAGACTGATGACGGGAAGAGGGAGACTGGGCCGGATTCCAAGGGGCTCTAATTCTGGAGCTCCATCAGTGCACTCTGCACATGCTCACAGCTCCCCCACAGTCCAGTGCTGCAGGTAAGAAGGCCACTGAGGACATGTTTTCATGGCTGCAAGTGCTGTGGCCTCCAACTGACTCACCAAGTAATCCATCTTTTCGAATCAGGCCCTGCTCTGTGTCCTACTCACCATTCTTACCCTGCCACCAAGCTTTGCTTATGGTGCCAGTAGCCTTGGGCTGCTATCCCTTCTCCCTGACACTCAATTCCACACCAGGCCGCCTCCTCCAGGAAGCCACCAGGCAACGTTCATCTCCCTATCTAAACCCATTTCCCGCATTCTGCTGGGCTCTCCTAGACTCCCTACCTGCTCTTCTGACCCCTGGCTGAGGTTGTAGGTAGATTTAGTGTCTTAGTGGATAGTTGACAGTATCTGGGAATACAGAGAATTTAGTGGCTAGGTCTAAAATAATCAAATAGGTCATCCAGGGCTCAAGATTCTACTTCCTGCTGGATTGCTTTTGCATAAACATGACTCATTATACCTAGAACGTGAGCTGCTCTCACCACAAGCCCTACCACCCAACACTGACACTTTGCCATGAGGCACCAGGAACTTCTCAGGGCCCATCTCTTAACCACGTTAAAAAGTCATGTTCAAGAACTCTCTTGTGTCCTACGGACGACTCGCTCATGCCTACAGACTTCAGAGTTAATGCTCCAGTAATTTTCTTTCTCTTAGGTGGTGCTGAAGATTGAACCTGGGGCTTCGTACATGCTGAGCACATGCTCTACCACTGAACAACACACTGGGCTCATGCACTTTTCATATTACACTTGTTACTGGCACCTTCAGACTGAAAGCACAGACAACTTTTTAAAACAATTCCCTCTGCTCCTCTAACCTATTGTTGTGCTAGCTTCCTTATAGCATATGGCCAGGTTTAGGAAACAGTCAGAAAATGAGAACTACAAGAGGGAGAGTGAGGAGCCTTGAAGGCATCTGTCAGGAGAGAATGTAGGACACCAGTCTCCGTGTGTGGGATCCACATAAGTGGTTGTCTGCCAAGTGGGTTGGCAGATATTCTGGGGTGCTGCCCCTCCTTGCCATTTTCTGTTGGCTATATGGGAATGCACAAAGGACAGAAGCTGGCTCCCTGACTATGGGAAGCAGAGCTGGAATGGGCAGCACTAGGCACAAGAACCTGGTATTTTTGATGCTGGGCTTGGCACTGTGGAATTGGCCTAAGTTCTGGAGTGATGCTGATATCCTTTTTGTCCTTGGGATCCTCTTGTTTCTGAGGGCTCAGATACCAAAAGAGCTTAAGGACCTGATCATATGCTGAAAAAGAGCCTGTAGGGATCTGTGGAACTCAGGCAAGGCATCATCCAGGTGACGAAACAAGCCGGGGCCAACTTACGGTTTTGCCACCTTTGCCGATCACCCGGCCGGCTGTTGAAGAGGGAACTCGGATGTGGGCTTCCAGCTTCACTTCTTCTTTGGGGTTAAAGAAGTTTTCTTCTTTCAGTTTCCCAAAGATCCGTCCCTGGGCCTGAGAATAAGATGTGACTTGAGTCAGACGCTGGCCATACCTAACTTTATCAGTGCTATAGAGGAACTGGGAATCCTGACAACAGGGGACTCTATGTCCCCCCATCTATAGGCTAAACACACAGGCAGCTGCATGCCTGTTGTCAGCTCTCACAGACCTGGGAGCCACTGCACCTGCTATACCAAACCACAGCACTTCACAACCTGTGCTCAGGCACACTTGTGTTTCATGAGATTCCCTCCTCTGGGGAGTATGCTGTGTGTCCGTATTAGGGGTACAGGTGAGGGGCTAGAACTATATTATTTCTATATCCCAGCACCCATAAACATTTGGGCATTTTTAATTCTCTCTCAGCAGAGTATGTTCAGTCCTTTGTTGTAAAAGGATGGAGGTGAGATTGTAATGATGGGATTTGATAAGCATAGGCTTTTTTTTTTTTTTTTCAGTGATAGGGATCAATTCCAGGGCCTTACATATGCTAGTAAAATCCATCATTTCAAAGTGTACTTCAGTGATTGGTGTGTTAAGGGACTATCACCATTATTTATTCAGAACATTTCCATTCCATTTCTCCAAATAAAAACAGCAGTTAGTTTTGATTCTTTCTTGTCTCTAGTCTCTAGCAACCACTCATCCACCTCTGTTTCTATGGATTTACCTACTTTGTGTAAATGCAACCCTACCCATGTAGCCCTTGTGTCTGCCTTCTTTTACTCAGCACAATGTTTTCCAGGGTCATCCCTATTGTAGCATACATATTTCCTTTTTATGGCTGAATGGATATACCACATTTTGTTTGTCCATTCTCAAGTTGAAGGGTTGTTTTGAATGGTTCCACATTCATTGACTTTATTCTCTCAGTTAAATTTTAAGAGTTTTTAATTATAAAGGTTGTACTTGTATAAATTAATATGTGTTTCTTTTAGAAAAACTCAAGTTATAATTTTTCTAGAGAAAGAAAAAAGGCAAAAACTTTCCACACACTATGTTTTTCCCCTTTTACCATGTTGGTGGACAGGTCATTATTAAATGACCAAATGAGTCTTAGACAGCCATCCTCCAAATTGTGGCTGAGGGATCAGAGACATGCTGGAGGAGGTGACACCTGGATGGGGTACCAACAGATGGCATACCTTTCCATGGAGAGAAGGGAGAGAGGACTTCCTGGCAGAGGAAAATGTGCAGAGTGAGCAGTGGAGAAATGAGAAAGACGTGGTGAAGATGAGATCCATGAGCAGCAGCAAGAAGGGAAATGGAGAGTGGGTGTACACCTCTAAGGTGGCTACCCAGTTCACAGAGTCTGCAGGGCTGAGATGGCCCTTGGCACTGACCTTGAACTGGGCTTCAGGTGGTCCGGTGATGATGACCATCCTTTCGCTGACATCTGGGCCTTCTGCTGGGGCAATCTGCAGTTCACAAGGAAAGAGAAAATGCTGATTCCAAGCCCCTTCTGCTCATCTAAAAGGACGGCTGCACACTGGCTTTTTGCCTTTACACCTGGTACTTTGTCTGACACCACACTATTTCCACCCTGGGTCTTAGGGAGACATGACTGTAATGGTTAGTATTGACTGAGGGTCTCTGGCCACCAGGAGAGTCAGAAGTAGATCAGTAGTTACTGCTTGTCCTTCTCCAGAGCGCCAGCAGTGACTATTCTCCTTTCATTAAGCCACGTCCTAGAAAATAACCTAGAAGTCAATGGCTCTGAAGAGGGAGGCACAGGCTTGGCCTTCCCCGGGCCCACAGGAAAGGAAGGGCTGGTCCACAGAGGCATGAAACTGGAATCTGGTTTCAGGAAGGGTCAGTCTGGCTCTAATTCTCAGCTCACAAAGGCAGTCACAAGCAACTACTGAGTCAGAATAGGTATGACCAGGACCACATCTCTTAGCAAAAGAATCATTAGTATAACAGCACCAGAGCAGAGGGTGTCTTGGTTCCAGTTTTGGCTCCGTAAACCTCTTCCCTCCCTGGGCCTCCTTCACCTGTGAAGCACAGAGGATGAAGCCAGCAAGCTTGGAACCTCCTCCGAGTCTGAGCTCTTCTATAGCACAAACAATGGACCCAGCAAGAACTTTTTTTGTTAGAGGTCCTTATTACATACTTGTTTCTCATATTCTGTCTTATTCCAAAACACGAAAATTTTAGGTTTTTTTTTAAGGTAGCTTTTAAAAAATACAAAAATAAGCTGAGCACCTGTAGTCCTAGTTATCTGGAAGGCTGAGGCAAGAGGATCATTTGATCCCAGGATTTCAAGGTCAGCCCTGACAACATACCAAGACCCAGTCTCAAAAAGTCAAAATAAGCTAGGTGACTGCCTGTAATCCCAGAAGGCAAAGATCAGAAGGATCATGGTTTGAGGCCAGCCCAGACAAGTTTTCAATCAATAAAAAGCCTGGTGTGGGCTGGGGTGTGGCTAATAGTGGAAGCCTGCCTAGCAACTGCAAGGCCAAACAATATTTAAAAAAAAAAAAAAAAAAACAACTTTGACATGGTGGTGTATTCCTGTCATCCACTTGCTTTGCTCAAGTTCAAAA